GAATGCCCTGAAGAGAGTACAGAAAAGGTTTACCGGGATGTTGCCTGGTATGGACGATTATAGATATGAAAAACGGTTGGATAGACTGGGTTTGTTTTCATTGGAACACAGGAGGTTGACGGATGACCTGATCGAGGTTTTTAAGATTGTGAATGGCATGAATAGAGTAGAAAATATGAGGCTTTTTTCCAGGGGTCATAGTTTAACGTGCGGGGGTTGGTGGTGGGATGTTTAAAAGAGATGTACGAGACAAGTTTTTCACACAAAGGATGGTGAGTGCCTGGAATGCACTGCCGCAGGAGGTGGTGGAAGCAGACACAATAGTGGCATTCAAGAAGCAACTGGACGAATACATGAATAGGAAGGGAATAGAGGGATATGGATCACGTAAGATCATAGAATCCCTACAGTGTGGAAATAGGCACTTCGGCCCAACAAGTACACACTGACGCTCAGAGCATCCCACCCCGGACCCATCCCCCTATAACCCACCTAATCTACACATCCCTGAACACTACGGGCAATTTAGCATGGCCAATCCACCTAGCCCGCATATCTTTGGACTGTGGGAGGAAACTAGAGCACCCGGAGAAAACCCATGCAAACATGGAGAGAATTTGCAAACTCCACACAGACCATCACCCAAGGGTGGAATCGAACGTGGGTTCCTGGTGCTGTGAGGCAGCAGTGCTAACCACAGAGCCACTGTGCCGCCCTGTGAAGGCAGTTTTAGTATGGAAGGGGAAAATGTGTCGGTGAAGGGCCGGTTTCTGTGCTGTATTGTTCTTTGTTCTTTTCTTGTTCAGTGCTGGTTCAACCATGCTGCATTTTTATAAAATTCTGTGTGTCTGCTGTATCAGCATCCTGAGCCACCTTGTGTGCTTTGACTCTTCTTACTTTCCTTGAATAAGAATAAATGGACAATAAATCTTAAATAAATGAAATAAATGATTGATTGTTGTTTATTTTGCTAACTAAAACTCTCTGCTTCATTCTAGCCCTTGCTAACTCATACCATACCCAATATTTCCCGTAACAGCCATTGTTGCATGAATGAAACTGGGCAAGTTAATCTTTAGGATTGGGGGCTGCAGATTGGAGAAGGGAGATGATGACATTTATGAAGGGGGCAATGGTACTACAAGGGGTGGATACAATAAAGCACGGATGGAGAGAGGGTCGTGAAGGATGCAGGCAGTTTACCAATGGCCCGAAGTACTTTGTCTACAACAGGGGGTTTGGGGAATGTCCACTGATTATGAAAACACCACGGAGGTGGTGGACATGCTGCTGGTACCTGTGAGAGACACCAGAAGGAAGGGATAGTGGCTAATAGTTAGAAGAGGGGTGCCACAAATAACAGGTTTAATGTAAGAGTTGCAGTGGAATGAAGAGTGATACTAACTCAGTTGATAGGATATGGATGTTTCTGCATTCCCACAAGAGTGGTCACAATCTTCCTTTATGAGACCCAGGATTCTCCTCTTGCAGCGGGTGAGGAGTCTACTGTCAGGGGTACTGAACATTTTTGGCCTTTTATTGCCCAGTTATGGGCTGTCTTCTCCTGTAATGAAAAAAATAGGGGGAATTGATTGATACAAAAGTGCATGTCACATCTTTAGGTGCAAGTGGGTGAAAGGTGGTGAGATGTTCTGAGGAGGCAGTGCAGAGGCAGTGGTCTGGGGGATTTGTTGGGTAAGATCAGGTAAGGGTAGATGTTGCAAGCAATAGTGAGAGTGGCAAAACATAAGCCTCAGTAAGAGGTGTATGCAGTAGTAGAGATAGTGAATGTGAAGTTGCAGAGAAGTCATTGACATTGTTAGGCACTGCTGACTGTTCCTCTATGCTGTGGGAACGGCACTGACCTCGGTGGTGACCTCCGACCAGGCTGCCAGGGTTTAGCAGAGTGGCCTTCTCTGGTGGTCCTCATTTGTACCACCCTGCTGGACTAACAACTCCAGGCCCCTGTAAGAGAATCGCGATACTGTCTTCCACTTTTGTAATATCTTCACAATCTGTTTGAGCAAGCAGGGCAACTTTCAAATGTCAGCAGTCTTTTAAATATTGTACAGGGAGAAGAATGCCAGTCTTTTGGCGGAAATCTGCTGAGTGGTGCTTTGTTTTGGGAATAGAATATGGGAAGATTGGGCTGGAATTGGGTGTGATGAACACCATAGGAATGGGTTGGTGGTTCATATAGCAAGTTCTGTAAGATATGGCTTACAGAAAATGTGCTAGGCTTCGTGGCGAAAACCCCCTTGTAAAAAAAATAACTTGACCTAATCTGGATTTGGCGAAAAGAAACTTAAAATATGCTTTTGGTGCTTTTTTGGGAGTTTTGTACTAACTGTAACAGCCTTAGAATGGAAGTTCTCATCAATTCATAAGATCTCCCATTGATTGCAGTCTAGGAATTCTTTAACAGTGCACCCTTTGGAAAAGCAAAGAATCACTAACAGTAACCTTTGATTTTTGCATTATTCCGTACATTTGAGCGCCAGAAGTGCTGGTCATTTTCACTGGCGCACCAATGTAAGGCACTGTCATTGCCACTACCAAATCCAGGCTTCTTTTACAGGAATTGCCCTCCATAGTACCGTTGATGAATGTTGTGACCTAGAATGAATCTTGCAGGATATAGATAATATCAGTGGCTGAGGAGACAGGAATTACTTATTCCTGTTTAACTTTCTGGTTTCTATTGCAATACCAGTTTTCAAACTGAATCAGCTAAAATGTTATTAATATTGAAAGATGCATTCTTATACTTCTGAAAAGTTACGGTCCCCTTTATGTGCCTTCAGGGCTGTTGCCAAATTAGATAGACTACAATAATGCTGTGGATAGTGGCTCAATTAGAGGGGGTAACTCAGCTTGTTCATGTCATGCTCCTTCGGTTTAGTTTAGCCAAAACAGAGATTTGAAGACTGTCTTGAGCTGAGCTTCTAGTCTGCCACGTTTTTCTAGGTTAGGACAAAGAAAAATGGTAAATTGAGAAAATGGCCTACATGATTTTTTGGTTTTCTCCAGGCTCCCTGTTTGTATATTCCTTCTCCAAATACCTCATTCTTATTCTATGGATGAAATATTTTGTTTTTACCTCTGTCAGTGTAGGATATTGTCAATGGGGTTGGGAAAGGCAGGAGAAATAATCGCCTAGATTTTTGTCCATGTGTTATGTGCAGAGAGTCAGAAGTTCTGTGACCATGATTTTTAAAAATGTTGTCCATGCATTGGACTTTTGGTCCGGTAGGATAGCCTGAATTTTTAGTCAGGCCTGCCAACCTTGTCCTTAGAGAGGAAGAAGCTGACTGTGAAGGCAAGCTGGCACTAAGATTTGTTTCCATGTACCAACACCATTTTGCTTTGGAAAAGAATAAGCACAAAACTGCCCTCCAGTTCTTACTGCTCTTGCCCCTCACCTCCCTCTCACTCTCCAACATTGATTCATACCAACTTATGGCACGTTTTGCTTTTATCCCCTCATCCATTCATGTACATTTCTTCCTACCCCATGACCTTTAATAGTCCTGATGCCAACTTGGCACAGTCATGTCAACCCTCATGGACTCCTGACCCAATACCCCTTGCCCTACTATGTCAATGTGCCTCGTATGCACTCTGGACAGAGTCCAGGACCCTGAAGAGAGGGGATAAAATGAATTTCTATTGAATAAATTTTCAGCTGTGTATTGCAAACTTTGCTGTATTGACATAAGCATTCCCATTCATAAACACCCATTTCCCACATTTATATTCCTTCAGCTACATAATGCCTTAATAAAAACAAGCATTTCATTCTTGTGCACAATCCCTTATAACAACAATAAGAATGAAGGTCATTTACATATCTCATTCCAAGGACCCTATATTTGCTTGGCACTTTAATTCAAGCTGTGAAATAGTAGACGCCTAACCTGCGATAATGGATAAGTATAAAATCGGTCATGGAGCACTAATCCATTGATGGGAAATCATGTCAACAGACAAATTGAAGTAGCAAGTGATGATTTTTAATATTCCAGATATTTATTTCCCAAGATTTAAAGGACAGGACTCTTAACTGCCTTGCCAGCTCCTTTTGTCAATTGATTTTGTTATTTTTGACAATTGATTTTGACAAGTCTGTTTACAGTTCTAATAAGTTTTACAGTTTATGTACTTTTCATGCATATTCATGAAACATTTAACCTGTCCAAAGGTCATGTGATGTCCCCATTAATCACCTGACCTTCCAAAAGGTGCCTCGAACCATGTCCAAAGGTATATCTCTTAAAGTATATTCTGACTACAGAAAGAAATGATCAAAGTTCATATCTGCTGTTACCATGTCTACTCTGCTTACTTTGGATTTCATGCTGCTGGGCTACGAAAAAATTCTTGGCTTGAATGGAAGCAGCTGATGTTTAAGTGGCAAGTTGCCTCTGCAAATCAAGCATGCGCAAATCCCAACTAATCTTGTTGTCATCCCCACAAAAATGGGAAATGCAGTATTTGGGAGTAGGATTGCAACTTCCAGGCTGTTCTGTTATGGAAATCCAGGCCAATTAGTTTCATGATTCTCTTACCATGCATCAAAATGTTATGCAGAAAGCAATTATATGGACTTGCTTGGTTGACTTACTCATTTTCTAAATTTTGGTTAGTCTCATGTGTTCCTTCTCAAATGCTTTATATTTCCAATTGTGGGTTTAATGATACCACAGAAAAATACAAATTAATTTGGTGCATTAGCATGAATACTTTTCACTTAGAATGAGTTTCAGGATCTTTGCTCAAGTTACATTGTAAAACAGCCTCCTGAATCATGGTGTTCAACACAGCTATTTATTGAAAATCAAAATTTTAAAAAGAGTTTCCAGCATCAGGTCAGCTCACATGACAGCCAGGAAACCTTTCATATCCATTTAGTTGGCATTCATTTCTGTGACTATTTTTGTTTCTGTATAATTGTTGAAAGGAATTCGAATGTAATTCATTGGTGCATTTGTCTTTCAAAGGGAGATGAAGAAACATTTACCCTAAAGTCATGCATTAGGAGAAAAACAGATTCCATTGAGAAGAGGTTCTGTTTTGATGTGGAAGGAGTGGACAGGTGAGTTGAATGTTGCATATTGTAATTTTTTTGATAACATGTTTTGTAATTTTTTTTTGCTGGTAAAAAGTTCTAGTCACTCCAGGTTCAGATGTAAATTGCCTGCTGAATTTGAAGTTTTTGTGTATGCTAGTGTTTCTCAGGGTGTCGATGTTTGAGAATGACACATTCTGCATTTTGCATCTTTTGTAAGAATGAAATTTCTCTCCAGTTCAGTCACAACTGAGATTGCAAGGTACCTAACAATGGACCAATGCATTAATGTTAATATCCTGGAAGTGTTTTTTCCTTCATTTCTTATGAGTCACAAATTAAACATTCCTCCTGACAGGAGTCTGAATTTGTTTGAAATAAGCTGTAGACAGATCCTGATCTCTCTTTAAACCTGCAAAACCTCAGAAGCAGTTATTACCATGATGAGTAAATGTAAATGGATAAAGTTCCTTTTCAGTGTATTTGCATTGTTCCAAGGATGGCTTAACTTTAAAATGGACTATTCATGATAGACTACCTTGCAGCAATCCAAATTGTACATCTCCACTTAAAGAAATTACTTCAAAAAATGATAAAATGTTTCTTAGATTTTATAGGTGTATTTTGAAAAAAAAACTAACATGAAATCATATATCTAAGGTTTTAGAGTAGATTTGTAGCTCGGGTTGTGGATGTTGTGGTTGGTTGGCTCGCCGAGCTGGTTCGTTGTTTTTCCGCAGACGTTTCATTACCCTGCTGGGTAGCATCATCAGTGCAGCTTCCGATGAAGCGCCGTTGTGTTTTCCCACCTTTTATTTAAACTCTGGAGTCCGTTGAGCTGGATTCCGGTTTTCCTGCGCAGTGGAGTGTATATGGGGTCGATCTCTATGTGTTTGTTGATGGCTTTCTTTGTAGGGTACCAGGCTTCTAGGAATTCCAGTGCTTCTCTCTGCTTTGCTTGTCCCTGGGACAACACCAAGATCCTGGGACAAGTAAAGCAGAGACAAGCACGGGAATTCCTAGAAGCCTAGTACCCCACAAAGAAAGCCATCAACAAACACATAGAGATCGACCCCAATACACTCCACTGCGAAGGAAAACCAGAAGTGAGGTAATCCAACTCAACAGACTCCAGAGTTTAAATAACAGGCTGGAAAATACAACGGCATTTCATCGGAAGCTGCACTGATGATGTTACCCAGGAGGGTAATGAAATGTCTGCGGAAAAACAATGAACCAGCTCAGTGAGCCAACCAACCACAACATGAAATCAAATGGTTTACATAAGAAAAAAACTCTCTCAGATCAAAATGTTAGTTAAGACTTTGTTTGGCCTCTCTGTATTGCTACATTCTGCTACTTGCAGGAAGGAAAGCACATGTCTCGAATACGCTTTTTGTTCAAGAAAATTAAATGAATTTAAACTCTTGAAGTGATCATCTGACATGGACAGTTTGATTGTCTTCTGTACTCTGCAGGGCAACCACGATCACCATGCAGGCACTTTCTGAGGAGGACAGAAGGCTGTGGATAGAGGCCATGGATGGCAGAGAGCCGGTAAGATGATACTGATGATTAGTTTTATATGAAGTATCTAATTCCAGTTTGTTACTTTTCAAACTGGCCAGTTTGAATTGCACATCTTGTGCTTACTATGAAAGTCTGGAGTTTGCAGATTGTTGGCTTATATATGGATTCTGAATACACAGACACTTAATTTTTGCTATTTTAGCCCTGTTGGATACACCCTAAAATGAGGAGGTTGTCAAAAGACAGCTGTTATATATGTTTCACTTGTTTCAGTGACAATGCATTTAAACAGTGAAAATTCTCAGGCCATCTTGCACACTCCAAGTGTTAGTCGGCAGGTTTGTGACCAAATCATCATAAACAAGGCTGGAAGGTGATCTAGGAGTTGCTTTCGCCTGATTTATGGCTCTTTTGCACTGAGATTGGGGTTCTGGAACTGGCTAGTAACCTTGTTGCTCTGGGTTTAGAGCATGGAAAGAAAACTGCATAATCAATATGGAAATAAGAACAACTTCCCATCTTCAGCAAGATGTCTGTGATTTTGATCACATATGAGGATGGGGAAACCAAAAATTAGTGAAGGTGAGAGCATTATCAAAGAAGGGAGGTTTGATGTTTTAAGCGAGAGTCCAATTTGGGGAGTATAGTGGATCAAGGTACACTTGTCACTAATATGCTTGGTGAAACAGGGACAAGGAGAATATATATTTAGAAAGGTATGATGGGGGAGATCAGTCATAAGGTGGGATGAGACACTAGAAGGATTGGAGAACAAATTTCTTTAAAACTAATTCAATAGGGCATGTGGAACCAGTGGAGCATGCTGAAGATGGGATGCAGAAGTAGATAAATTGGTATATTTTGAAGACCCTTAAGAACTCTGGAGAAAGCTAAAGCTAAGTCTATTAGGAGGTGAAATCGTGTTTAATGGGATTATGCCATCTGCAGTTCATGCTTTTTCCTCCAAGAGACAGCAGTGCTCAAGTTTTCGATCTGATTGTATGACAAAAACTACAATGTGGAATTTTAACAATTAAATGTTTAAAACTTAGACAAACTAGATAGGGAACAAGTTCAGGTAACCTTTTTTATCCTGTTAATGATTTTATTATGGATTCATAAAACAAAATACTGTCTTTGAAATAAAAACAATTGATTTGTGAATCATTAGGCCAGAATAATCTGATTACTGCCAAGTGCACTAAAATCAATATTCTTCTTTAATGTTGTCTAAATAATTACAAGGAAGGTATTAATGAAGCTATAGATAACATTTAGGCTCTGCTTGTTTGCCTTTATCAATAATGGGTGTTGTGTTTGGAAACTAATTATACAAACTGCTTTGAGGTTTTCCTTATCAGCTGTAGTATCAATGGACACACTTTATGCTATCTATGCAGTAAGAGTTGATCAGTTATGCTTTTATAAGTGCAAAATTATTAGTGAATCACCAAAGCTTATGTGTTCAGTTCAGTCAATCAGAAAGCTAAATGGCCTCCTACGGTTCCAATAAGGTGGCAGGAATTGCATGTTCATTACAAGCTGGAAGTATATTGCTTGCCATATCAGTAAAGATGAAAACCTTTGACCTTTATTAAATGCTTATGCCTGGAACAGACTTTTGATCTTTTGCTTGTGTAAATAAAGGACATAAAGTTTTACTGTAAGTAGTTGGCACCAGACTCAACTTGGCTCAGGAAAAAGGGTCTAAATTAATGTTGTAAAAAGACTCTCTGTAAAACTACAGTAAGCAAATTAAGTGTATTAAAATACACTAACCTAAATTTGGATCTGAGAAAAGCACTCCAGCCAGACTCCCAAGTTAAAAGAAGTTAGAATCTGCGGGAAAGTTTTTATTTCCTTTTCTTCCATACCTTTGCAACTTCTCCTTTCATTGCCTATCACTCCACATCCCCAACACTCACTATGCTTATTTAACTGTGGACTACCGTGATGCCAAAAGCAGGTTGGATCTTTTGTGCTTTACAAGCAAACTTTCTGTTAGTCTCCACAGTGCACCAACTTGAAAGGAGTAATCCCCAAGATCAGGATCAAGTTCAAGGAATCATAGAATAATACCATACAGAAGAGGCCTTCCAACCCATTAAGTCAGTGCCGCCAAAAATATATTACCATCTACACTTGTCCCCACTTGCCCTCACTAAGTTGCCTCATGCCTCACCATTGAGATTCTGGAGTCGATACCTGCCCTGTCCATGTACATTAATTTCAAGTCATTTTACTCTGTTTCCCATCACACCAAAAGATGTTCACCTAACTAAAGTATCATAATTCACATATGATGACCTTTAGTCTTTTTTTCTGTTGCTTTTTTGGTTATTGCCTAATGAAGGACAAGTTCTAAAGCAGTTTCTGAAGTAAATGGAAAGGTGACCTGATTTCTGGATGATCAAGTTCTCAGTGACTCATGCTGTCTTGTTGTGACATTTAAAATAGTACGTAATGTTCTCCACCAGCACATAGCCAATGAAACTAAATGGACATACTGATGAAAGAGAGGATCTGTCTCTGTTGTCAGAATTCAGTTTTTTTTCCGCAGGTTGCTTTTTAAAAGAGTTTCTAAGTTAAAAATCTGGGAAGTAGTTTTCACATGGAGTTCTTTTCTCTATTCCTCAATGCAAGGCATGTAATCCAAGCAAGCAGATTACAATCAAGTCTTGGTTTTTATCCCCATAACAGTACAATTATGTATATAGCAATCTTTGAACTTGATAAAATGCCTTCCATGCTCAATTTTTTTTGAGATTATCAATTGGAGATTATTGGTGTAACATCGCAAGCCTTAGATGTAAACTTAATTTTAATTGCAGCTTTCTTGAATATTTACAGAATGCAATACATTTCTTAAAAAATTGCAAAACACCAAGCAAAGGAAAAAAACACTATTTTCTCAGGGGCCAAGGTTATTGACTTCACATCTCAGAAATGGCAGTCCGAGGGTTTAGTATTCTTTTCTGTCTATGTGTAGCATTCTTAGTTCAATGTGCTATGCTGGAAAATAATGCAGGAATTGTTTGTTTATTATTTACTTTTTCTTAATATGGAAGTGTATTCTCAACAGTTTAAACAGTTAACCTTTTAAACAGTTCCAGCCTGCGATATTATAGCAAAGGTAAATAAAAGATTAGATAAATATGTAGAATTGGCTAGCTCAGTAAGGAAAAAAAAGCTATAATGGAAGTTTAGGTCAAGAACGAGATTTAGATTCAATTTGTTTTTCAGTTGAAAATAAACTCTTCCACTTATTGTTAAGTGGGATTTTCCTCTGATATCACATGATGAATGTGTATATCCCATAACAAGAACAAACAAAATTTCTACATTTAGTCTTGTTATTAGGGTATTTTATTCCAAACTTGAATTGAAACATTTTAGTTAGGAAATTGCTGTTGGCCATTTATGTTTGAACTCCATTTTGGTATCAGGAATTCTGACATGGAAAGTTTTAGTCATTCGCAGGATGAGGGTGTCGCTGGCTAGGCCAGCATGTATGACCCTTGCCTAATTATCCAGAGGGCAGTTTAAGAATCAACCACATTGCCTTGGGTCTGGAGTCATATTAAACCAGACCAGGTAAGAATGCCAGTTTCTTTCCCTAAAGGGCATTAGTGAACCAGATGGATTTTTCTGACAATTGACAATGGATTCAAGATCATCATTAGACTCTTAATTCCAGATTTTTAAAAAGTTGAATTCAAATTCCAAAACTGCCGTGGTAGGATTCAAACCTGGGCCCCCAGGATATTATCTGGTCTTCTGGATTAATAGTCTAGCGTTAATGCCACAATGCCAGCTAGAGGCGGTGGCATAGTGATCATGTCACTGGACTGGTAAACCCAGAGTAATATTCTCTGGAAACAAGTTTAATTCCACAATGACAAATGGTGAAATTTAAATTCAATAAAGCTAGTCTCATGGCCATTGCCATGAAAACCTATCCAGTTCACCAATTTCTTTTATGGAACAAAATTTGCCATCCTTGCCTGGTATGCTGTACATGTGACACCAGGCCCACAGAAATGTGATTGATTCTTAACTGCCCTCTGAAATGACCTAAAGACCTACTCAGCTCATGGGCTATAGGGATAGGCAACAAATTCTGGCCTTGCCAGTGACAACCAAATCGCATATAAGAACATAAAAGAAATTAAACTTGTGCAAGGATGATTTGTACACATCTGGTGCTTCAATGCAAATACTGTTTCAGCTCTTCACATTAACTTGGATTTCTTGCATTGTCAAATTGAGTAATTATTGTGAAGTAGTTCCAGCTCATTTGTATTTACTTCTCATGGAGTTTTCATTCGTATTTCATATATTGCATTTTTCAGTAACTCATTTGCACTCTGTGTCTGTCTGTGGGTTTCTCTTATTCTCACTGCAACTTGCTATCATGCTCCCAGTTCTATACCTGTGCCTCTCAGTGCACTGCCACAATTGAGGATTATTTTCTAAATTTCTTAATCAGCCATCAAGGGAGATAGCTGGGAGGCATTGGTCCAAGTCCCACCTTCTCCAGAGGTCTGAACAGGTTGATTAGAAAAATAGGTTAAATTTAAAAAGTCAACTATCAAGGGTGGGCCTTTTGGTGGCACAGTGGTAGTGTCCCTACCTTGGACAGGGAGACCTGGGTTCAAGGTGCATCTCTGAACAGGTTGATTTAAAAAATATAAAATTAGCTTTCAAGGCATAGTTCTATCAGACATCTTTCTGCTTTAGAGATCCTCCCTTCTCACAGACTCCAATGAAGAGATAAACAGAAGACAGAGAATGGCAGAAGGGCATAAAGAAAGACAGTAGGCATATGTGAAAGAATGGCTGATAATCTACCATACAGAGTGAGTCAGAGTAAAGATGGACGTACTGAAGGGATGTTGAGAATGTAGTGGGATGTGTGTTCTAAAATTAGAGAACTAGAGTTAAATTGTAATGAATCATTTAAAAAAGGGTTCATTAGAAAAAGAAATAAAGTAATAGATTGGTTACAGCACAAAAGTAGAATGTTGATGTGTCATGTCTTGTCTAGATTTCTGAAAGAGCAGTTCACTTAATGCCACTCTGCTGATTTCTCTTCTGAGCCCTGCACGTTCTTGCTTTTCAGAAAATAATCTAATTCCCTGATGCATGCCTGGATTAAACATGCCTGCATGCCACTCTCCGGCAGTGCATCATAATACACTTGCTATTTCCATGGCTTCTTCTGAAAATTACTTCACATAAACATCTTCCACAAGTTAATCTGTTTCTTCTCATCCACTCTATCCAGCTCCTTTCTGATTTTGAATTCCTCTATTAAGTCTCCTGTCAACCTTCTCTTCTCCAAAGAAAATAGTCTTAACGTTCCCACTAAATCAATGTAGCTGAGTTTCCTCGTTGCTAGAACTATTAGACCATAAACCATAAGACGTAGGAGCCGTTCGGCCTATTGAATCTACTCCACCATTTGATTGTCACTGAGATGATTCTCAACCCCATTCTCTTGCCTTCTCCCTATAATCCTTGATCCCCTTACCAATCAAGAACCTGTCTTTCTCTGTCTTAAATACGCTCAATGACTTGGCCTCTGCAGCCTTCTGTGGCAATGAGTTCCACAGATTCACCCTCTGGCTGGAGAAATTCCTCCTTCTCTCAGCTCTAAAGCATCATACCTTCACTCTGGGTCCTATTTGCGCTACATATGCCCAATCAAGGCCTCTTCAAATTCTGTAAGCTTCAATGAGATCCCTCTTCATCCTTCTAAACTCCATCATGTGCAAATACAGAATCTCAACCATTCCTCATATGACGAGCTCTTTATCCCTGTGATCATTCTTTAAACTTCCTCTGGACCCTTTGTGAATCAGTACTGCACCCTGTCTAATAGTTTCACATCCTTTTAGTGTGGCGCCTAGATTTGGGCTCCACAGTCCAAGGTTAAGCCAGTGTTTTATACAAATTTAACGTGACTTCCTTGTTTCTTTCATATCTAGGATGATACCGGTATGCTGCAAGGAAAAATTAAAATATTCAAATAAAATTGAATTTCAGGATTTTGTGTCATGACGTGCTTGGTGTGGAACAATTAACATAATTTAAGAAATAAAACAGTCTTGTCGGTGATGAATTCTACATAATAGAAGCAGGAGTAGGCCATTAAGCCCTTTTGAACTCACACCACCCTTCTACTTCAATGTCCATTTTCCTGCATTATTTCCATATTCCTGATGCTTTTAATATGTAGCAATCTGTTGATCTGCATCTTGAACATACTTGAAGTCTGAGCCTCCATGCTGTCTGTAGTACTTCTGATGTTAGATGCATGCATAATCTACTTAAATGACACAGACTTTGTGACATTTATATTGGTTTTGAAACATTAAATTTCCAATACTGGTATAGTTTTTGTGTAGATATTTTTCACTGGGTAAAATACTATCTTACTAATTTCCAGGTGTACAACTTGAATAAGGACAATCCAATAAGTGAAGGCGGTAAGCAACTATTGTTAATAATTTGATTTGGAATGTGTTGGGTAAGGACAGTTGGTAAGTTTCTCCACTGTATCTTGTTGATGGTTCACATTGTAGCCATATTGTGGTGGATGGGTGCCTGGAGGGCTGTTTTGTCCTTGATGATTGAGCATCTTGAGTGTTGTTGAAGGGACACTCATCCAGGAAATATGGAGGGCTTTATATCATGCTACTGTCTTGTGTCTCATTGGTGGAAAAGCTTTGGGGAATCAGGAGGAAAGTTTATATGCTGCAGATTACTTGGCTGATGATCTGTTCTAATCACGTTATTTGAATATGTGGTTGAGTTCATGTTAATTGTCAGATCACTGTTCAATTGAATATCGAGGGGAGGTGGTTGGATTCTCAGTTTTTGAAAATGTTAATTCCTTTATTATGTGTTGGTAAATATTATGTGCCACCTATCAGCCCAAACCTGAATGTAACAGGCATTATTGCATTCGGACATGGGCTCCTTCATTAACTGAGTAGTTAGAAATGGAATGAACTTGTTAATTATACCAACTTCAGACTGAATAATGGAAAGGAGGACCATTGATAAAGAAGCTGAAGCTGTTTGGTTCTATGACATTATCATGAGAAACTCTTGCAAAGATGTAAAATAAAAACAGAAATTGTTGGAGAAACTCAACAGATCTGGCAGCATCTGTGGAAAGAAAGCAGAATTAACGTTTGGAGTCCCAAGAGTTCTGAAGAAGAGTCACTGGATTTGAAACGTTAACTCTGCTTTTTTCCCACAGCTGCTCCTAGACCTGCTGAGTTTCTCCAGCAATTTCTGTTTTTGTTTTAATTCTGCAATGATGTCTGGGGCTTAAATAATTGGTCAGCCAAAAGTCACAACCATCTTCTTTTGTACTTTGAATAACTCCAGCCTGTGGAGAGTTTTCCTTCTTTCCATTGACTTCAGTTTTATTAGTCCTTGTTGATGTCATACTCTGTCAAATGCTGGCTGTGATATTTTGCCTCTCCTCTGGAATTTAGATTTTGTTTTGACAGCTTTTTGGATAAGATTCTAATTGCATCTGAAACCAGTGATTCCAGAAATTAAATTTCTGTTTTCAAGTGATTGCTCAATTTTCTGCCCATTCTCCAACTCTGAGACATAATTGTAGCTAAGATATCCTAATACTTAGTTCATCAAGTTCGTATTTAGAAGCTTGACATTTTACTGTGATTCCTTATTAACTTTTTGTGTCATAGAAATAAAGTTCATAATTTCGTTGAGGTGCTGGAAGAAATAGATAATTGTAGAATGCCAGGTGGATTCCTCTTTCTGTGGCAGTGTTTTCTCAATTGTTGGAATGTGAGAAACCTGGTCATACTCCCCTTATGCACACAGGTAAAGGAGTAAGAATCAGGCAATGGATTAAGAGAACGAAAGAGTACCTTACTGAGAGCTTGGTCAAGCTCAGAGAGCAAGGTGCTTAACTTTGCTGATGATCCTGTGTCTGGGGAGAAGAAGTAAACTGAACTCAGATGAAACAGACTAGTTCTTAGAAAAAGTGCGCTCCTGGATTTTCAGCTGAGCTGAAAAGTGGCAATGAAATTGACTAACATTTAATGCAACATTTTAATTTTTGTAAGTAAAAGCAGAAGACACATGTAGTTCCTTGATGAATAAAACTGATGAATATGAAGAGAAGAAGGAATCCAGGGAGTTTTTATTGACTTGTTACCTACCACATCTGCATAGAATATTGGGAATATGCTACCATATCTTCCAAGTGAAACGGACAGACCCTCAGTCTTGTTTATCTACCTGTCAATTTTATTTTAAATGTCTTTACTAAAGCTCAAATTCTCATGAGATTAATGGTTTGTTTTTGATTTTCAGCTGCCCAACTGGACAAAGTTGGATTTGATTTAGTGAAGAAATGTATTCGTGCTGTTGAAGAAAGAGGTAGCTCAATTTTTATTTACGTCAGTCTTACATTGAAAACGTTGTTAGTACAAGGTTCCTATTCATAAAGTCTTGTTTTGTTTCCTCACTAGTCTGGCATCATCTTTGAATGTCTGAAATGAATAAAAGTGACCATAACTAACTATTTTGATGAGGAAGTCAACCAAACCTATAAATCAACTCATCAAATTGCAAGACAAATATGTTCAAAATCTTTTGTCTCCAATTTCCCTTTACTGAACTTAGTGTGTAAATCGAGGACCATAACATTTTTGTTAACTAAAGCCCAGAAATTCTAATCAGGAAACCCTGTCCCACTTTTAAAAAAACCTTATTTATCTGTTGTTGACATCTACGTTGGAGAATTCTGGAAATGAACTTCCTGTCACAAACCAACCCAGAAATCCTTGGATCCAGCAGTGTAGATCATTGTCGAAACTGCACCTCCTTACAGCATTGAGTGCTATGTCCTGAAGTTTAAATTTCCAGCAGGTACTTTGAAAGCAACTCTAAAAAGGTCAGTATGTAAGGTAAATGAGGGGGTAGGATAGGAGGTGGGTGGGGCAATGGTTTCAGGAGGATAGGAATGAGAGGGACATAAAATGCTGGATAGTTGAGAGTGAATAGGATGCTAGGTAAGTGGGCGAGTGCTTAGGGTAGTTCTTAGGGTGGGTGTCAAGTTAGCTATCAGTTTGGGGTGTCTGTTGGGTCGATTTTGATGTGGGTTTACAGGATAGGATCATGAATGGTGGAATGTCATATCGGGTAGCAGGAGTATCAGATCCAGTGGGAAGGGTGTGATGGACGTGTCAGGAGTCAGAGGCGTATGTTGGCAGATAAGTGGTGAGTCGACAGTTCAGTTTAATAGTTACCCAGGGGTTAGAGTAGGTTTTTAATTCCTCTAAAATTACCTGTATAACAGTTGAGCTTAAGTGAGTTGGACCCCTTCAAATTTTCTGACTTTATGGGTTCTTTCTGGAGGGTCCCAGATGCCAGAGAGCTACCTGTTGGAATTTTCAGTTTCCTGTACAGTTCCCCTGCAGTCAGTTGTGTTGGGATTTCCACATGGTCTTGATGTGAACTCTAGTCTGTGCTGGTGCAGTGACTATTTAATTGTCGGATACCTTGGCCATTATATAGGACTATTTTTGGTGCTTGTTGGGTTTGATCATTTTCAAAAATTGCATGAAATACTTCATAATCCCAGCAAAAGAATAGTTTTAGTATGATCTTGTGCTCATTGTGACTTCAGCTATGTTTGATAGTTTGTAGTATTTTCTTTTTGATGAATTCTTAGCAGTGCATTATGCAAAATAAAATCTCTGAAATATTTTGCAGCGTAGCTCTGTAAATCTGCATATGAAAACGCGCTCACAAAGTATTTCCACATTTACATTCATGTGTGCACATATAAGCACACAGCTACATGTTCTGGAGCACAAGTATAAAAGATCATAAACAGGAACAGGAGTAGACCATTTTGCCCATCAAGCTTCCTTTGCCATTCAGCAAGATTATTGCTGATCTGACTGTGGCCTTGACTTGCCTGCCTGCCTCACATAACCCTTAATTCCTTTGGCAGTCAAAATTTTGTAAATTCAGTTTGGATAAATTCAATGGCCCAGCTTCCTTGGTTTTCTTGGAAAAGACTTCTGAAGATTAATGAGTGGGGAAAAAATCCTTACTATCTCTGTCTTAAGTGTGAGGGTCCCTTAGTTTAAACTGTACCTTCTACATCTAGCTATAAATCTCACACTAGAAGTATCTTGTTGGCATCCACCCTATCCACACCCAGGATCTTACATTTTCAACAAGATTACCTCTCACTGCACTAAACAGACACAACCTTTTTCATAAGACAACCATTTCATCCCAGGAAATAAAAGAATGAATCTTCTCTGAATTGTTTCTAGTTCACTTACATCTTTTTCCAAATAAAGAAACCAAGACTGTACACAATACTGGAGATGTGGTCCCGCCAAGGCCCTGCACGGCAGCATAAAACATTCTTCCTTTCATATTCCATTCCCTGTGCAATAAACAGCAACAATCTATTTACCCTTCTAATCACTTACCACACTTCACGGTAAGACTTTGCAAGGTAACTCTTTACAATTTATGTGCTGGGATGCTCAGATACCTCTGTACCACCAAATTCTACAATCTTGCCCCATTTAAGTAGTAGGTATAACAGTGTGGAGCTGGAGGAGCACAGCAGGCCAGACAGCATCAGAGGAGCAGGAAAGCTGATGTTTCCGGTCGGGACCCTTCTTCAGAAATGGGAGAGGAGGAAGAGAGCTCTGAAATAAATAGAGGGGGGTGGGGCTGGGGAAAGTCAGTGGGATGGTGAGAGGTGAGTGCAGGTAGGCAGTGGTGGGGATTGGTCAGTGAGGTGGGAGAAGCAGATTTTTCTACTTTTGCCACCAAGGTGGGCAAGTTCACATTTTCTAACAATGCTCAATCTCTCACAGTATTACCCCCACACACAACATATCTACACACCTTAGCGATGCATTACCTTGCCTTATCTTTCCTGTTGTATCAATTTTGGTGTGATCAGCAAATTTAGCTACCATAGTCCAAGTCATTGGTATAGATTGTTGATAGTTGAGGCTCTAACACTGATTCCTGTGGAAATCCAATCCACAACTTGCTAATAGGAAACATCCCGACTCCTTGCTTCCTGTGAGTTAACCAATCCATTTTCCCTGGTAATATGTTACACCGCTACATCATGATACTCTGATTTTGTGTAGTAACCTTTGTGGAACTTTATAAAGTGTCTTTTGGAAGTCTAACATACTACATCTGCAGGTACCTTGCATGCTACTTTGTCGAATAACTATTGAATTAGTTGAACACAGTTTTCCTGTTCTAAAACTCTGTTATTCTGCATGATCATAATGTGATTTTTAAGGTATCCTACTGTGACCTCCTTAATGGATTCTAGCAGTTTCCTATGACAAATGATAGGCGATAGGCTAACTGATGTATCATTTACTGCTTTCTATCTTTCTCCTGAATAAAGGTGTTACATGTGCTGTTTGCCAATCTGCTGGGAACCCTCCAGATTCTAAGAAATTTTGGAAGATTATAACCAGTGCATCAGCTATCTCTGTAGCTACTCCTTTTTGGAGTCTAGGATGCGGGCCATTAGGTCTTGTTGCCTTTAGGTCCAAGCATTTTTCCTGCAACTTTCCTCTCATGACAAAAATTGTTTTAAGTTGTTCCTTCCCTTTCTTTTGATAATCGAGTATCTTTGGTAACGAAGACAGACACAAAAATATCTGGTTCAATACTTTCACCATTTCCTTTAGTTCCGGTATTAGTTCTCCAGCTGCGCACATTCTCTAGAGTGTTTAGTTAATTTTTCTTATTTAAAGACTAGAAGAAACTCTCACCATGTTTTTATTACTTGTTCACTTTCTCTCATATCCTACTTTCTGCATCTTGGTCTTTCAAATTGAGGTCATCTGTCATTAATATACTAACGATAGCAATAATTTCCAGGGCTATCTCACCTTTTCCTCACTTATTTTCAAAATCAAAAGCTCTTCATTTTTCAATTCCAAGCCTTGGTCACCTTACACTCATGCCTCTGTATCTATCAGGTCATGAATATTTATATCTATCTAATAAATACATAAATTAGATCATAGCCCACAAGACATGGAAACAGAGATAGGCCCTTCAGCCCACTGAGTCTGCACTGCCATTGAATGAAACTATAGTTTTTTTTGTCTGATAATCCTTAACTCTGCTTTCTTGCTTTTTTCCTGTAACCCTTGATTTCCTTACTGATGAAAAGTCCATCTATCTCAGCCTTGAATATGCTTAATAACCCAGCTTTGACAGCCCTCTGAGGTGTGGAATTCCACACCCTCTGTGAGAGAAAAAAATCCTTCTCATCTCTGTTTTAAATGTGCAGCCCCTTAATCTGAGATTATGCCCTCTGGCACAAAAATTTGAAGTCTCTGCCACTTCCGTGTTTCTCATTGTAAAGGCATGAGAAGCAAGGAAATGACAATCCTGTAAATGACTAACCCTCACTTCAGCTACTCTTTCTTCTTTTATATTCTTGTAGAAGGAATTTATAATTTATGTATTTGTGTTTTCATTTTTAATCTTAGTTTTCTCTCGTGCTCCAATTTCTCTCTCTTTTATTTGTTCAGTCATTAAGATGTAAGCATATATTAAAAAAAGCCACCTCAGAAAAACATTAGAAATTCAACTTGATGTGTTAACAGATTTTTCTCTACATTAAAAACAGGTTTAAATGAACAGGGCCTATATCGAATAGCTGGTGTTAACTCCAGAGTACAGAAGCTATTAGGTTTATTAATGGGTAAGTACTGTGTTTGATTCTCTTCTCTTTTTGTGCACATCTTTATATGTGAAATGATAAATTCATCTGGTGCATTGCCTAGCTCCAGTTATGTTCCCGAGTATCAGTTTGTGACTTCTATGGTGTCAAAACAGGACTTTTGTTAATTTGTGTTCATGGGAAAATTTCCTAAACAAACTCAGCAATACTTCGTGGCATATAGTTTCTATTGTGGGCATGATCTGCAAACTAGATGCCAGGATTTCATTCATTAATTTGCATAATGACAAACAATTTTCCATGAACCAATTGTAGTCAGGCAGCATTTTAGATTGCTTTTTTTTTCTCCTTATGGTAACATTTTGTCTTAATACATTGAAAATGGTAATCTAATAGTGAGTAAAAGGAGCAAAAGTGACACCCAAGTAATCATTTTTTTTAATATAATGATTGGTTAGGGTTGGAATACACTGCCAGAGAGTGGTGGAATCAAGTTCAATCCAAGCATTCAAAAGAGAATTAGGTTCAAAAATATTTGAAAAGGAGCAGTTTGCAGGATTGCAGGGAGAAGACAGGAGAAGAAAACTGAGTGAGATCCTTTTTTGGAGAGCTGGTATAGACATTATGGAATAAATCACCTCCTTCTGTGCTGTATTTGTTCTGTAATGTGCCAGATGGCATGTCAATTGAAGCAAGCCATCAGAGGTATATTTTTAAAACTCTGGCAGGTTCACATTTTTCTTTCTTGTTTAAAGGATTGGGGGTTTAAAAACCCTCACTATTGACACTTAAATAGACTTCATTTATCCTTAAGTGTTTAGATCTACTCTATAAATTTATGACTCCCACACTGCAGGTTATGGCTCTTGGAGCAGCAAACATAAGGTTCATTTAAACTCTACTTTTATTTCATATGGCCTAGCTAAGTTTCGGTTTTCGGTGTGGCTTTTGCTATACTCACCCACTCCATACCAAAAATAGGATCTGTCACAAATTAGTGTGGATCTTCCACCTCAAGAGTAACCCATTATTTGAAAGGTCTTTGGAACTGTCCTTACTGCATGCATATCTGACTCTTGGTTAAAGTTCTAGAATTTTGTCAGTTATGAAGACCACTTTAAAAGAAAATGGGGAAGGAAAGTTAGTAATTCAATAAGAGTTGACATGGTTAAGTTGCTTCAGATATATAAACAGCTTCAGAGGAAATTGCTATTTTTTATAAAGGTTTTTTTATTGCACTAAAAAATAAGCATTAAAAGAGCATGCAAATAGTGAATCTGATGGTGAAGCATGAGGGTACTGAAATAATTGAAAAAATAAAAAAGAAAGGAAATCCAAAGAAATGAAAGGCCATAACTAAATTTCATGGCTGCAAAATTGGGAAGTAACAGTGACCTTGATAATATGAAACCAAGGCTGGGATTATTCAATTAGTGTGCAGTTGGGATTGGAGATAGTCAAGTTTACAAATTGGCGCTGCCAGAATCCATGCCAGTTTATTGTGATGATCCTAATCCTAAGCCTGAGTCATTCTCAATGAGAACTTGTCAGTTCAGGTGGTACATAATTATTGTTGTTGCCAGTTATGGATAATTGTAGGACCTATTAAGGTTTTGCTCCCCTGTCAAGTGGAATTTCCAGTTGGTAATGCAAGCGGAGGCTGGGGGTGACCTTATAGAAATTTATAAGATTACGAGGGGCATGGAGAGGGTGAATAATCAAGGTGTTTTTCCCAGGATAGGGCAAATCAGGGCAGGACTTATACACTTAATGGTAAGTCCTGGGGAGTGTTGCCTAACAAAGAGATCTTGGAGTGCAGGTTCATAGTTCCTTGAAAGTGAAGCCGCAAGTAGTTAGGGTAGTGAAGGAGGCATTTGATACGCTTGCCTTTATTGGTCAGTGCATGAGTAAGGGAGTTATGAGGTCATGTTGCGACTGTACAGGACGTTGGTTGGGCCATTTTTGGAATGCTGCATTCAGTTCTGATCTCACTGCTATAGGAAAAATGTTGTTAAACTTGAAAGGGTTCAGAAAAGATTTACAAGGATATTGCCAAGGCTGGAGGGTTTGAGTTACAGGGAGAGGCTGAAAGGTGGGGGCTATTTTCCCTGAAGGGTCAGAGGCCGAGAGGTGACCTTGTAGATGTTTATAAAATTGTGAGGGGCATGGATTGGGTGAATAGTCAAGGTCTGTTCCCCAGTACAGGGGAGTCCAAAGCTAGAGGGCATAGGTTGAAGGTGAGAGGAGAAAGATTTACACTGAGGTCGGTGTGTGAATGGAATGAGCTGACAGAGGAAGTGGTGGAGGCTGGTACTATTACGAGATTTAAAAAAGCATCTGGGTGGGTATATGAATAAGATGGGTTTAGAGGGATATGGGCCAAATGCTGGCAAACGGGGCTAGATTGATTTATGATATCTGGTTGGCATGGACAAGTTGGACCAAAGGGTCTGTTTCCATGCTGTACATCTTTATGACTCTAAGCAACACATGTTGGCCTGGACAGTGTGTTTCTGTGATACATCAGTTGGCTTGTCAATTAAAGCAGTGTATTAGAGAGTGTTTTCTGTTGAGAAACTCTGACAGCTTAAACTGTTAATTCATGTTTAAAGTGTTATGGATTTACAAAGCCCCCATTAATGATACTTAACCAGACCTTATCCTTGTACCTTTCAAACATTTACATTGACTCCATAGATTTGTGACTCCTGTCCAGAATCATAGCTAGGCAATTGTTTTTATTTTAAACAATGAGAAAACGTGGCCTTCTTCCTCACAGTTTCCATCTTCAGCTAGGCATCTCCCAATCACTGTGCTGGAAGGCCTCATATTGGGCTTCTAATGCGGGAGGAGTAACTGCCGAAAATGATTAGATGATGAGCCTGTTTGGTAGCCTTTAATAGCGTGGCTGTAACATCTTGGTGGATGTGTCTAAAGCACAGTGTGCTATCTCAGGACATGGAACCAATCTGCATGTCTGCTAGATAAGCCCTGCTTGATAGTCTCCAAATGTTTGGAGACATCTCCCAAACTTGCCCTGTTTGGGAGAACAAGAATTCACCCACTCTCTTTTGAACTTCCAAACTATTCAAGGGCTCTTTTCTATATTTCAAAATTTTTATTGGCTTTACCAAAAACTTCCACTTTGAAGGTTTGAACATTAGGGAGGAGCAGTTGCTTAATTAGTGGTGAGCTAACATATATGTTGTTCCAGCTGTCCTTACTTATTGAGGGCATTTGTTGATTCTAGTCCAGAATATCTAGCTCATTTAAGAATTGATGTAATACTCACAACGGCTTAATAGCTGCTTCTGATAGAGAAGTTGGTGAATATCCACTTTACTGTGCCAATTAATCACAAAGGAAGAAATGACAAAATATGAATGGAAAGACACTAGATCTAATTAAGTTCTGAATATTCAGAATTGAAGTTGCAAGTAAAGGTTAATGTAGTTTTGTTTAAAGCATGATGCTTTTGCGCTAAATTAATTTTCAAAATCATGAAGGCATTTAACAAAGATGATGCAAGCAAATTTTTCAAAGAAGTTAAATATTAGGGATGGTGGTGAAGAAAAGCTCAAAATCTAATAAGAGATTGTAGAATTGCAACAATGGCCCAAAGTTTTACTGTAGCTTAGTATCTAATAGCAAATTTTGTTATTAGTTAGACCTACTTTTGCATGTGTAAGGCTTCAGTGTCTTGATGGCAAACTGCTAGAAATGCAAATTGATACCATCATTGTGAGGAATACAGGGCATCTGGGATTTGAGTGAACAGAATACACAGATTAATTAGTTGATAAGAATAGATAAATCAGATTGAAAGATGTGAAATAACCAAGATTGATAGAGAAGGAAATCTCATAGAGAAGTAGAGAGAGAAAGAAAAATTAAATTAAAAAGACAAAGGAATAATAAAATTGTAAAGTTTTATATTTGATATATTTAAATTTGCCGAGAATTAATGGTTTAAAGAGTTAGATGAGCTGGAGTCGAGGGATGTGTATGAACGGAGCTTTGGCTGGCAACAAGTTGCCAGTTAATCTTCCTACAAGTAGCTAGTTATTGATGACAAACGCCTTCTGACTGGCAACAACTATGTGATTGTCTTTCAAGTAACTGAACGTCTTATGTGTGTGAATGTTTGGGAGAAACTGTTGGATGTCTGCAAGGACATGAAATGTTTCTTCTCTCTGCAGTGAAAAAAAAACTGAACCCTGAAGAAAGCCAGTTTATTTTTCCTTCAACAGTTACCGTAAACTGGGTCTCTTGATAAGTAATCCATTTAAGTATTAACTCACCATCCTGTACCTTCTTCAAACAAGTGAAAGTACCTGGAGAAGATTTAAGGAGCAACATATCCTGACAAAGCAAAAAGACCTTTGCAGTGAACACTATGAACAGGGACTGTTGAACTGGCTTGACAGTCTTACCCTCTGTCCATCACACCCATGTTTTTTCTTGTCTGTCTGTATATGTTTAGGGGAGAGTTTAGAAGGGGTTAGGGTTTTAATTAGTAATGCTACATGTGTATGGTTCATAATTGTTTATCTGTAGCTGGGATCTACTTATTTGTGATAGATGGTCACTCTTATTAACGACAGAAACCTGGTCCTTGCTTCCTGACAGCCTGGGTTTAAAGGAGAGGTAAATTGGGAAATTCTGTGTACTTTTAAAATCTTTAACTTTTGAAATGATTCTGGGAATAGTGGGATTGATTTTGAGTGCCTCACCCCGGTGAGACATAACAACATCCTTTTACAAAGCTGATGGCAGATCAGTACAACTCAGACAACAGCTTTTGAACATGGGCATTTTGCTATGCATTGGACTTTTGTTGAAAGTTGCTTTACCATTTATGTTTCAATAATAGTAGCACCAACATTATTTTGGTAGTAAAATCGTAGCCTGTAAGTTCAAGGAAACCATTGAAATTACAGTATCGATGGGTTCAACCAACGTACCAGCAGTGAGAAGGCATTGAACAAAATTGCAAGGGCAAAGGTTCAAACTTACCAGAAAGTCATCTTAATTGGTATAAAATCTGCTTTTGTAACAATTATTGTGGTTCTTGCATTTAACAGGATCAGTTGATGTAGATTTGGAGACTTCAACTGAATGGGAGATAAAGACTATTACCAGCACACTTAAACATTATCTGAGGTAAGATCTTCAAGTGGAAAATAGTCTTAAATTATGTTAACAATTTATCAAATGTGTGGTTGGACTTCATTCCGACTCAAAGGATCTGAAACTAGTTTTCACAACTTGAAGCCCTTTCCTGGGAGGAGTGAAGAGACTTACTATGGGAGTTGAAAATATTTATTATAGGTTTTAACTATTACTATTTTTGTGTCGGTCTTCACAGTGGAAGATGCAAATAACATGCCAATAATTCATGACAACAAGGCTATATGGCAGGTGAGGACTTAGAAACAGTATTTATCATTAAAGAGGGAGTGCTGGGCAAGCTAATGGGGCTAAAGGTAGACAAATCTCCTGGCCCTGATGGAATGTATCCTAGGGTACTGAAAGAGATGGCAGGGAAAATAGCAAATGCGCTTGTTGCAATTAGCAAAATTCGCTGGACTCTGGCAATTCCAGCAGATTGGAAAACAGCAAATGTGATGCCACTGTTTAAAAAAGGAGGTAGACAGAAGGTGGATAACTGTAGACCCATTAGCTTAACTTCTGTAGTGGGGAAAACGCTTGAATCTATCATCGAGGAAGAAATAGTGAGACATCTGAATAGAAATTGTCCCATCAGGCAGAAGCAGCATGAGTTCGTGAAAGGCAGGTTATGTTTAACTAATTTACTGGAATTCTTTGAGGACATTATGAGCGGTGGGCAATGAGGATCTGGTAGATGTGGTGTATTTGGATTTCCAGAATGCATTCGACAAACTGCTGCATAAGACAAAGGTGCACATTATGGGTAAAGTATTAGCATAGATAGAGGATTGGTTAAGTAACAGAAAGCAAATAGTGGGGATAAGTGGATGTTTTTCTGGTTGGCAATCAGTGGCTACTGATATGTCTCAGAGATTAGTTTTGGGACCGCAATTGTGCACAATTTACATTGATGATTTGGAGTTGGGGACCAAGTGTAGTATGTCAAAGTTTGCAGATGACGTCAAGATGAGTGGTAGACCAAAGTGTGCAGAGGGCACTGAAAGTTTGCAGAGGGACATAGATTACGTGAGTGGGCAAGGGTCTGGCAGATGGATTACAATGTTGGTAAGTGTGAGGTCATCTATTTTAGTAGGAATAACAGCAAAGTGAACGATTATTTAAATGGTGAAAAATTGCAGTATGCTGCTGTACAGAGGGACCTGGATATCCTTGTGCATTAATCAAAAAAAAGTTGGTTTGCAGGTCCAGCAGCTACTTAAGAAGGCAAATGGAATATTGTCCTTCATTGCTAGAGGGATAGAGTTTAAAAATAGGGATGTTATGCTGCAGCTGTATAGGGTGCTGGTGAGGCCACACCTAGAATACTATGTATAAGTTTTGGTCTTTTTACTTCAGAAATGATGTACTTGCACAGGAAGGCATGCAGAGGAGGTTCACTTGGTTGATTTTGGAGTTGAGAGGGTTGGCTTATGAGGATTGAATGAGTTGAATGGGACTATACTCATTGGAATTTAGAAGAATGAGGGGGGATCATACAGGAACATATAAAATTATGAAGGGAATAGATAAGATAGAGCAGGGAGTTTGTTTTCACTGATGGGTGCAACGAGAACTAGAGGGCATTCTCAAAATAAGGTCGGGGGGACAGATTTAGAACTGAGTTAACGAGGAACTTCTTCACCCAAAGATTGTGAATCTTTGGAATTCCCTGCCCCATGAAGCCATTGAGGCCACCTTGCTGAATGTTTTTAAGGCAAAGATAGACGTTTGAACAGTAAAGCAATTAAGGCTTGTGGTGAGCCGGCAGATAGGTGGAGCTGAGTCCACAAAAGGATCAGCCATGATCTTATTGAATGGTGGAGGGGCCAGATGGCCTACTCATACTCCTATTGCTTATGTTCTTAATTTGCTGCAAATAGAGTACAAGTGTGCAAACAATGGTTTGTCTTTTTGATTGGGAATCACTGTATGTAGTTACTGTATGTAGCACTTAGATGTCTATTTTAAATTTTCAAACAATCTTTTGCTCTGCAGTTGCCTTTTTTCATATTTTAAGAAAAAGTTGTTTCTCTTTATAATGCTTAGCTTTAGAAAATACACAGGATTTTCTTCTTTGCATTGCAAGATACTAAGAATGTGGCCAGGGACTTTTGTAGAATTTTGAAAACTAAATGAGTGTATTGCTCAATTTAACGTTTTATCAACTTCTAATTACCTGAGCATTTAAACAATTTTATGATCTCTGGGTCTTTTATATTTGGCATAGATATTTCACCATTCATTCAGACTTGGTGGTTTAGATCCCATTTAGGAGGTAGAAGTGCAAGTTATTCATCAGGCAATGAACTAAATTCAAAGGTGGAGGTTAGTTTAGATCAGTTGGCTGGAAAGCTGTTTTGTGGTGCAAAGTGTTGCCAACAGCGTGTGTTTAATTCCTGCACTGGCTGTCATTACCAGAAAGGATTCTCCTTTTCAGCCTCTCCCCTCGCCTGAGGTGTGGTGACCTCAAAGTATTTTTTATTGCAAAAATGTAGTTTAGTTCATTAAAACAATTATGTACATACACAGATACTAAAGCAGTCTGTACAGTCCTTGTATATAAAGAATAAACTTTAGAGGTATTTAAAAAAAGGCATTTCCTACACATACACCACACTATTTACTATTTGAGGCAAAGGGAGGGTCTGATAACTGAACAGACCCTCATATTTTGGCAAAAAAACTTCAGAAAGTGATCGTTTCTCAATGTCTCTTGGTGGCAGCTCCCCCAAGTTTTAGTGTGTACCTCAGCACATGGTCATGGTCATGGTCTTGGATCTTGGATTGTGCCAGTTTGCAACACTTGGTCAAAATCAACTCTTTGCACTGGAAGACCAAGTTCTTGGCAGACCAGCATCTTTCATTGAGTTGATGGATCTTCCAGGCACAGACAATTATTGTCTCGGTGAGTATCCCTGGGAACTGAAAACAGAGCACAGAGTCTTGCATTTCAGAGCTGCTCAGGACAAACCTCAACAAAAACCACTGCACCTCTCTCCACACCTTTGAATTGGCACATCCTCAAAGGAGATGTGTGACAGTCTCTTTATCCCTTCTGCAGCCAGTTCAAGGGCAGCGTGTGGTGGCAGAGAGAGTCTGGGGCTTATGTGAAGGATCTCACCAGCAGCCAGCTCCATCTTGGTTCTTTTTGGAAGGTTCTGGCAATGAGGCATTCTGCCAAATGACTTTGACAGTCTGCTCAGGGAACAGCTCAATGGGATCCAACCTCTCCTTTTCTCACAGGTTCTCGAGGATGTTATGTGCTGATCACTGAGTGGACTTGTGATCAAAGGTGTTTTCTTTTATAAATTTTTCCATCGGGCACAGATGAAATGGAACGGTTCAACTACTTGGAGTATTTTGCAGCAATGAGGCCAGACCCTCCCTTAATAACACCAGGGATAGGTGGAATTCCAGTCCATAGTGACAGTTGATGTTTGCATATTGAGGGTCTATGCGCAGCTTGATACAGCCTCATACAAGATAGCCATCAGGTTGAGGGCAGTGTTGGATATGCCTTGTCTCTCACCCCCCCCTCCCCACCAACCTTATCCAGACCAGGTCTGGGAATCGGCTTGAGCTATGCCACATAACGAAACGCCAAGAGTACCTCACACCTGATGAACAAGGTTTTACCTACAATGGAGAAGGAGCAGTGCTCCCATCTGCCCAGTTTTTGCCTCACCTTGGGGAAATGCTCTTCCCAGGTTTTGACGCAAGCCCTGTCCTCTCTGAACCACATACCCAGCACTTCCAGATAAGCTGACCTGACAGTGAAAGTGCTAAAGGATCAGTCATCCCAGTTCCCAGAGAACATGGCCTCACTCTTGCCTTGATTTCCCTTGGCTCCCAAGGCCAGTTTGAACTGGTCAAAGTTACTCATCAATCTGCACGCTGACAGTAGATTGGAGCAGAAAATGGTGACATCCATGTACAGGGAGGCTTTGACCTTCAGACCTCTGCTGTCTCGAATAGTCACCTCTCTCAGGCTCACATCCTTCTTGATCGTCTGGCGAAGACTCTATACAACACAAACAAAGCAGGAAAGGCAGTTTGTCTGACTCCAGATCTGACCAGGAAGCTTTCTGATTCCTGCCCATTGATTAAGTCTGCACTAATGTTATTGTTGTAGAGCAGTCAGATTCAATTGCAAATTCCCTCCACTAAACTCATTTTGGAGAGCCCATCCCTCAGCTTGGTTTGCGATATCTTGCAAAAGGCCTTCTCATGGTCCAGACTGGTGAGGTAGGTGTCCACCCTGCTGTCAAGCACGTAGCCAATGTATCCCTAAGGAGCACAAGGCTCTCTGAGATCTTCCTACCTGGTACAGCACGAGTTTGGTGGGGGTGAACCACGGATCCCAGAGCAGACCAGACCCTGTTAGTGATGACCTTAAGACAGAATTTTATAATCCACATTCAAAAGTGAAATTGATCATCAATTTCTAAATTCTTCCTCTCCCCCTTCTGCTTGGTGAACCTCTGGTTAAACCACCACCAATCTCTAATAAGACAACAGTCAAATGGTCTGGTAAGGCCATGGCGACTTTACCTTTATTCATCGGCACCACTTTTATTAACAAATTTCCTTTCATGAATTTCAATTTGTGAACCATGTTATGTATAGCATACTTTGAAGCTACTTGCATGTACAAACCAATTGCATTATGTTAAAACATATGCCATATGCTTGACTTGCAAAACAACTGGCTGATATAAGCTTTCTACCCTTGCATTGAATTTTTGTAGAAACTTTACATCTGCATTGCAAGTTTTTGGGCTGTGAATGACTTTAAAATGTTGATATAATTGCATTGCTGTCACATGGAATTCAGTTACTTTATTGCAAACAGCTGTGAAATGTTCATGGTGGTTTAAAAATAGATTATTTTTGTTGAGCAAGTTATCTATGTTTTGGGTGTTGGTTTCCTGGACAAACAAATACAATAATTATGCATCTTGAATGAGAATCATTGGCTATTTAAATCTATT